ATAGTTCATACTGTAACCAAAAAATCTAAAAAATATATGAACACAGTTTTTTTTTACAGACATTTTAAATTCAAATTTGAACGAAATTACATATTAAAAAACCTAGAAAAACTATTTTAGTTATTTTGTTGTGATTGAATAATATTATTCGTGGGTACTTGAAACTTCTAAAGTGTACTATTATATATCTATGATAGTATCACGGTTTTTGTTGATGTATAACGCGTTATAAGTACCTAATGGATATTTTGATATGATTAATTTTGGAATTTATTATAGGTACCTACCTATTATAGGTCAAATTTTGGTTTAGTACCATAGATATGTATAATGTATATAATATGTCTTATACCTAGACTGACATACTGTCTCCGCTCAGAATCGTTTTTCTTATACAATGATATTATATCGTTGAATTCAAATTTAATATCATCCATTATACAGTGACCCACTTGTAACCTACTGTACACAGTGGCGTGGCGACAAGACTTTTATGTAGGGGCGAATACATTTTTTTGATACCCAGTTATAGGTTTATAGGTACCCAATTATATATATATTTTGTTCATAGTGTTCTTAGTGTTCATACCTATTCAATATCACCATTGGGTGACCTACCCACCTACCCACCCTTGAATTTTACTAGGGGCGGTTGCCCCAAAAAATAGCCTTCGCAACGCCACTGACTGTACAGCAGAGCGACACCCACTTGCCCACCTTTTTTTATTTATTTTTATTTTTTATATGAAATATACAATCTGTACCCTGAGGCACAATAAGAATATGGGCTAAATTACAATGACATGAGTGAAGTGTTTTGCTTCTTCTTGGACGGTTTTTATTAGGTACGCTAATTTAAATTTAAAAAAAATCTTGAATATCAAATCGCTAATTTGATAGAAGAAATGTCTATAATTGAAAAAAAAAATTGTTTAAATCGTACGCTTTCCAGCTATTTGGTGACGACTTTATGATATAATATTATGTAGTTCCATTTTGCGTAAACTTCGCTAGTAATAAGAATACGAATTATAACATCGAAAAATAAAATAATATTATTCATTGACAGAATTATTATTTTCGTATCGACGTATTTGGCTATTTATAATCCGTGCGCGGCAGCGATAAAATAACCAGTTTTGACCTATGGTGCGGTATAGCTGCATATGTACGCGGGGTGTGGTAGATAAACTATTTCAGAATGCTGCCGCTGTAGTCGTTCTAGCAGCACATGACGACGGCAAATTCGTATTTTTTTTGCCCAAAACATGGTTTTGTACTTCCAATAGTTCTCAGGCCTCGTTGATCGTAGAAACATGATTTTGGTATCAAAATAATCACGAGAAGTTGTACTAAATATTCTTGGAACAGATTTTCGATATCTAATTTTGTCGATTTTATATAATTTTTTAAAAAAATGAAAATATAGTACAAACTTCAGATACAAATAAAATTGGTTAGAAAAAAAATTTTAAAATTCTGTTCCAAGAATATTTAGTACAACTTCTCGTGATTATTTTGATACCAAAACCATGTTTCTACGATTAACGAGGCCTGAGAACTATTGGAAGTACGAAAGCATGTTTTTCGGTCGATTTTTTTCTACTGTGACGGCCTCTTAATGAGAACCATCACCAATCATTTGACTTATGGTCTTATCATACAGTAGCATCATTGCAAATTGAATACAGAACCATGCCAGTTAATCAAGAGGTAAAGCTGTACCAACACTATAATTTTTCAGAATTTTAATTTGACTTTTTATTTCAATTAATAGTTAAATTATTATTTAACCAAGCCAGTGGTGCCAAATCCACTTGAAGCTTGGGATGTTATTAATTCAATGCATCCTAATTTATTTTAAATAGCAAGAACAAAATTGTCAATTATAGCTACATCGGTTCCATCGGAACGACTATTTTCTAAAACAGGCCAAATTCTAAACAAAAAGAGAAATAGGGTAACCAGTCCAGTTATTGAACAGTTTAGAAATTGTTGACATTCAAATTTCATTGATAAATTCAGTTTTAATAATTCGTTCTCCTAATTCAGATAAAGGAATTTCTTGATCTGTCTACTTTGTCAAAAACTCATTTATTAGAATACCAACTTAAACACATTTCAACAAAATTAGTTTATTTGAAAAAATCTGTAAAATACTAATAATTGAACAGTCTGATCTAGTCATTGAACATTTTAAACCCAGTATTTGAACACTCGGAATTTAAATAATTAGCTGTGCCAAAAACAATACAAATGTATTACCTAAAAGATTTTGTAAATGTTTAAAGGCAAATAAATTATTAGGGCACAAAAATAACAAGTTTAAAATATTTAAAACAAAATATGGTTTAATATAAAACAAATAACATAACAAAAACTTAATTTATAAAATACCACTTTGGTAACAGTTTAAAGCATAATACATAATGTCATAACTCATAACAATAAACATTTAAATAGTTAAAACAAATAGGTAGTTTAAAATTTTAAAACATTTTTAATAAAAAAAAAAATATTATACCACCCTGGTAATATTGTAAGGCATATCATTATAACAATATTAACAATTAAAAATTATTTAAAAAACAACTCTGTATAAAAACTAAAAAATAAAAATAATAAATAGGTAGTGACCTAATACATAATGATAAGACTTATAAGGTAAGATTCAACGACACATATCACAAATAAATGCAACAGTTTTTTCAATCCCAGCACAAAGATCATGTGCCCATCCTGCAAAGCTACAACATTTTATCCAGGGCTCTCCACTTTTAGATAAGCTATATGGCTCATTACAATACAAACAATCAGGATCATTTTTAGAACTATCAGAATTTTTTTTTAGATTTCTTGATAATTTTTTTCTGTTTTGGTTTTTTTTTTATCTTTTGGGAAGATTTATTTAACTTGGCATTTTTTATTTCTTCTCTGCGTTTTCTTTTGAGACATAATTCCTCTTCCGTTTGTAATTTTGCTTGTTCTATTTTTGAGTGATGTTCTCTCCACTGTATTGCTGAAACTGCATATGGTAGTTTAATTCTAGTTAGTGTTTTTTTTTGTTTAAATCTATATTATCTGGCCTTGGCCAAAATAAATGTTTCTCCCAAGCTTCTTCAATTGATTTACATTCATAATTTCTACTTTTGTTGGTAATTAAATGTTTTTATTCATTTGTTAATAGATCTGCTACACTATCTTCAGTCTCTTCATTTACAATTTTATTTTCAGTCTCATTGATATCAATATATAATAAATTATCTTTAGTGCTTAAATTCTCTTTACCGTATTTAACCATGTTAAAGATTTCAATCTCTGTAGGTAATAATATATCTTCTTCAGTACTTGTATTAACCTCTACATAATTTATTCTTACATTATCTTCAGCCTCATTAATATTACCCTTTACATTGGCTTACACATATTAATATTATTTTTTGAAATATTTCAAACAACTTTCAAAACAAGAAAACTACAAACTACATATACATGTGATATATTATATATATATACCTATATATGCTTCCTCAAATGGTGTAAATATCCTTAAAATATTGTATTATTTGTCATCATTTTTATGTGGTTGGCATGCAAAAATGTATTATACATATCATTTATATACTACTTTATATAATTTTTATTTATTATTATAATTTTAATTGTATTGAGTTATTTGTTATAATGTTATATTAAAATAAATATAATAACATTAATTGATACCCATGTTTGATTAGTAACTACATTTGAAAAGATTCATTTTTTTCTTACTTATTTTATTGTAATATAACTTTAAGCTACCCTTCCCTACAATAATTGGTTAACAATTAATGTTGTCTTTAGTATTATTCATTAACCAATAGTACCAGCAGTAATTTGTTCGAGCCTATGCATTCCATTTCAAAGGAGAGTTGTGCAAACTTATAATTATGATAACATCTGTTATATATATATGTTGTAATATAAGTTAGGTTAGGCTAGACACTCAGTCACAGTTTTCGGATTACATGCCTCATCATGTTACCCGACCGTTGCACGTCGTCCGCTATACGACAAAGTCGGATTGCCTACCTGCCAGACTACGCTCAAAATCGAGCCGGGTGACTGACTTCCTAGACACTCAAAAATTGCGGCAGCTGTACGATTTAATTTCTTTTTGAATTTCCCGTTTTTTCACTTACATCTTGCATGCGACGGATCATGCATCCAATCCGCCATACACACATGCCCTATAACTCATAGATTTGCATGCAGCGATGATTGATAGCTAGACATTCGATTACAATTATTCGCAATTCCTAATTTATTATACAGTCAACCCAACAGAACCGGCATACAGCGGGGCAGGCACGGTATTACACCAGACGAGCAAAGACCATTCTACACTCCAAGTCACAGTTTTCGGTACGGTTTAATTTCTTTTCGAACTTCCCGTGAAACGATTTTCAATCGACCACCTCGAAGGCGCCGGAGGCGGCTTAAACAACGCCCGGAATCGAAGCACAAGGGCAGCTAGTTATTATTATAAAGGTACAAAATATTATATAAAAATACAGGTGTTTTTTTTTTCACAGATAATGAAGTAATGAACAAAAATGTGGTATATTATACAGGGTTATTATTAAAAATTATTATATTGGTACAAAATATTAAAAATAAATCTGTTGGGCAAGTAATATAACTAACTTAATATCTTAAAACTATACCTTGAGGAACAATTTAAGAGCTTTACACGAAAGCACGTGAGCTTTTTTTTAATAAAAATACCATATAAGGTGGACAATTTTCTATCCGTACCAAATTTAATCTGCTGTAGGTGCAACACACCAACAGCACAACCTTCGGCCAATCTTAAAAAGCCGCCTTTTAAAAGCCGCAAACCTTCCCTTGGTGCTTTTTTTCACGGACTCTCCTTCTTTCTGGTCCCCGCTGATGTCATCAGCTGACAAGGCCTCAGGTCGTACTGATCTTGCTTCAACTACGTTTTCGATTTCTGTTGACTATGGTGGCAATATCCTTGCCACCGGGATAGGCCCCAGAGCAGAAATCTGGCCGGTCTTAATGACTATCGGCCGTGGTAAATAGACAGCGAACACGAAGTTCAGCGACCGCCGGACGGCCGCCACTCGCAGGGCTTCGTTTAAAGCGTTCCAGAGAAATACTCTACCATAATGCTTTACCACGTTCTTGTTTCTACTTGATACTACCTGCATCGTCGTATTGTTCTCCACACGGACAACATTTTCTCCAGTTATCACATGTCTTCCAGGTTTACGTCTTTGAACCGAGGGCTGCAGAGCACTTTGTAAATAACGTGCAGATTCGACGGTGTCGCCCACGGTTTGTGACAATGCTAGTTCGTTCGGCGTTAAATGAATATCGTTCATGTCTGCAATATTTTGTTCTGCGTTTATGCACAAATCCAAATCGGTTAAGATTATGTTATTTTGTTGAAAATTATCCATCTCAATAAATATCAAATCAAACTTGACGCGTTTATATAATAATAACTTAATGACACGAGAAAATCGGATTATCAAATAACAATGCGATGACGACTCAATAGATTTTCGTGGTAACGAAATATAATAATATTATACGGCCAACAAATTATTATTTTTCCTTCATATACGTTATAGGTACTTATATAATATGAATATAAAACAAAAAAGGTGCTCTGCTGTACAGTAGGTTACAAGTGGGTCACTGTATAATGGAAAGTATTAAATTTGAATTGAATGATATAATACCATTGTATAAGAAAAGAGATTCTGAGGGGAGACGGTATGTCAGTCTAGGTATAAGGCATATTATATACTTACCTATGGTATTAAAAAAAATTGACTTATTATAGGTACCTATAATAAATTCCAAATTAATCATATCACAATATCCATTAGGTACTTAAAACGCGTTATACATCAACAACAAACCCTGATACTATCAGGGGCGGAGTGGCCGGTCTGGAAATGGGAATTTTCCAGATGGCCTGGACCATACTATGGCCTGGTGGCCTGGCCATTTTGTTAGATTTTTTTTTTAATTTAAATTAATTTACAAAATATTAGTTAATGCTAAATGCATCAAAAATTTGTTTCTATTAAATTATTGTATTACATATATTATTAATGAAATAATAGTAAATTGTAATAGCCTCGTACAATCGTATACTCTTATGAGAAATCTTTGGATAAAAAATTACAAAATATTTGGTACATTAATATAGATATCAAATAAAATCAAAGCAATATAATATTTATATGGGTCGATTATTTTTATAAAAAAACACCCAGATAGTGTGTGGTCTCGGTTCAATCCAACAGAACTAATTACCTACTAAGAAATTATAAATTACTGATTCGACGCATTTCCGCATGTTGAAACCTGCAAGTTGTTTATTTGTACTCTGTAGGGCTGTTGAGTGGCGACGAATATAGCAATGCCAAATGGCTAATAATAACTAATAAGTAATAACCATTGATTATAAGTACTAATAATGTCTAATACTAGTATTTTGTATATTTTATAACAATCAATGATAATACATTAATACATATTAATTTTGTATTATTGGTCACTTTACTTTGGTGTCGTTTATGGTGTATCCACGTTTTTCCTTTTAAGTAATTTTGTGTACCTTAAAAGTATTTTATTTACTATTTAGTTAAATGTTCTAGTTTACTAGTTATGACTTATGTTGGGATTATTTTTAATTTTAAAAAAAATTGAACAACTTATTATTATTTAAATTGCTCATAAATAAAATTAAGAAAATAATATATAAGAATTTCCAACACATTTGTAATAAATGTAATTAATTTGCCTAGTGCATTTCCTCATTGATAATTTATCTTGCTCTTATATTTCAATATTTTGAATAAAATGTACTTGTATTAATTTAATTTAACTTTTTTTCAGATCAAACATCAAACAGTAATAATTTAGAATCTAAAATCTCTATAGATTGTGATAATGTTTTCGGATTTTCAGGTATTAGTACTTAGTGGTATATTAATACAATGTGTTAGAAGACAGAAGTTAAAAGAAATAGCAAGATAGTGATTGAAATACTTTTCTAATACTGAAAGTAATTTTGGAATAGGCAAATATAAAAAACCAAATTCGAGCGTAGCGAGAAACAAAAAATTTGGCGGGTGGCCTGGATACATTTTAAACTCCCGGCCTGGATTTGGTTCCCACTCCACCCCTGGATACTATCATAGATATATAATAGTGTACTTCAGAAATTTCAAGTACCCAAGAATAATATTATACAATCACAACGAAATAACTAAAATAGTTAGGTATTCTAGGTTTTTTTTATGTAATTGCATCCTAATTTGAACCTTAAATGAGTAATGACTATGAAAATAAACTGTGAGTTTTATTTAACACAGGGTTTTATTTTTTAGATATTCTGGTAACAGAATTAACGACTTATGTGGAATCTTGTTTTAAATTTTCAATCCTTAGCTATAAAAGTTGAACATTTTATAAATTATTTACTACAAAATAATTATTCAATTTTAAATTTGATAAATTTTGTCAAAATTCGATCTTTAAATGCTTATAAAAAAAAATTGTGCCTTTGTATTTTTAATATTTTTCAATTGCTACTGTAAGAATATATCAGGAGCTTTGTATTAAATTTTTATACTTTTTGGCCCAACAGATAAAACTTTATTGATATTTATAGAAAAAAAAACTAAAAAATTGAAAACTGAAAATGTCCGTAAACAGCTCAAAAAGAGTCAAAATATTTTCAAAATTTTATGGTGTATAGAAAATGCTAATTTAAACATGCAGTGAAATTTTCATGTATCTACATAGTTATTCGTTTTTGAATTACAACAAAATAAGGAAATCGCTACATGAGGAATGTAAAAATAAAATGTAATATCCAATGTTGTAAAAATTTGAATTTAAAACGCTCATAAAAAATTAATTTGACTTTCTTATAGCGTTTTAAATTCAAATTTTTACATTCCTCATGTAGCGATTTCCTTATTTTGTTGTAATTCAAAAACGAATAACTATGTAGATACATGAAAATTTCACTGCATGTTTAAATTAGCATTTTCTATACACCATACAATTTTGGAAATATTTTGACTCTTTTTGAGCTGTTTACGGACATTTTCAGTTTTTTTTTCTATAAATATCAATAAATTTTATAATATTAATATGTGTAAGCCAATGTAAAGGTTAGTATATATAAAAATATATGGTGTGAATTGCAGTAATTAAACTTGGTAATACATATATACATATTAGTATAACGTTACATGCATGTTCTAAGAAATTAACATTGTCTTAGCAATCGACACACCAAGCTCCTACTAAAACACTTAGCTTTTAAATAAATGTACTGCAAAATGTCTATCCAATTCGTGCATTCAAACTACTTATATATATATATATATATATATATATATATATTTAATATTATTGATAAACATATTTTAAATGATAATGTAAGTAGTGCATTCTCCTAACAGTGCAATGTACCTATATTTATTGTACATTACATTTGTTAAGGTAGGTTAATTTTTAAATTATTAAATTAAGTAATTATTACATTGCAAAGGATATATATATATATATATATATATATATATATATATATATATGCATGTAATAATAATAGTAAAATTTACAATTTATTCAGCGGATATAATAATAACGTTTTAGAAGATAGGTTTAAAACGGTGATAGGATAGGATAGAGTGGTATGTATTTATTAATAATATATATAAATCATGTATAATACATTTTTGCCAACGACATAATAAAAATGTTGACGAATATTACAATATTTGAAGCATAGTTTAACACCTTTGGAGGAATTTAAATTCAATTTATTATAATTTTATAACATATAATATGTATATGTAGTTTTCTTATTTTGAAATTTGTTTGAAATATTGCAAAAAATTAATGTGTGTAACCCGATGTAAAGGTTAGTACAGGTATAAGGTATGAATTGAAGTAGTTAAACTTGGTAATACAATATATTAGTATATATAATATAATATTACATAACATGTATGTTTTAAGAAATTAAAATGTATTGAATTTATTGTAGTCTTTTCATGTTTACTTATTATTACTTACATTATTACGTATGTAACGACATTGTCATAAACAATCGACACACCAAGCTCCTACTAAAACCCTTAGCTATAATAGTTAAATGTACTGCAATACTCATAAAAAATGTCTATCTAATCCGTGCATTCAAACTACTTATATTTTTAATATTATTGAAATGCTAATTAATTATGGCTTCCACAACGCCCGGAATCGACTTATACAGGCAGCTAGTAAATATAAAATTTGCTTAGGTACGATAATAAAATTCAAAATAATATAACATTTACAATTTATTAAAGCGAACATAACATTTTAGAAGATAGGTTTAAAACGGACAACGGTGATATAAAAACAATTATTATGTAGTAGTAATGCAAAGAAAAAATTGAAAAAAACAGTTTTTTGAATTTTTGCATCTCGAGCACTTGAACCGTTTTTGAATTTTGCGTTTTACATATTATATTACACACGGAAATATAACAATTTTTTTAAAAAAATTAAAATATTATATTATAATATATAGAAATAACTCGGGAAAATAATATTATTCGAAAATATTCACGTCAATCGTCGTCGATAACGAAAAGGGAGATAAGCGAGCAGCGACGACGAATGGATCTTCGCAGGAAAAATCACAAATTATTCCAATATGGCGTCACTACACTGTTATCACAAAATATAATGCTTATCACAAAATAATATTGAATTTTTACCGCCAACTTTTGAAATCAATAACTAGCAATAATAGGCAATATGTAGGTCGTCTAAAAGCCAAAATTTATATTAATAATAGATACACTAGTATTATTGACCAACTTCATATATTCTCGATTATGTCGATATGCAACAATTATCGTATAATATTTAGAGTCTACGAAAAGTTATGAACGGTTACAATCAGGGGGGACGAACTCTATAGCTGTAGGTATGGTTCTGTATAAACTATTAGTTCAAAATCGTACCTCCGGTAGCGCTGAATACTTTTCAGTATTATCATTGATTATAATGATATCAGAATATCTATTATCTGCACGTCTTAAACATTTTTGTTTAATTTTAACGAACTTTCAACTTAACGTGAAATTTGAATTCTACTTATTCTACTTTTCAATTTGTATTGTCAGTGTTCTACAATTATTAAAAATGCCTTCTTAAAAATATTGCGTAAACGGACAGCGATTTCATAATTTGGGTTGAGCGTTGTAACAACCCAAAACTTTATGAATTAAATAAATCTGTAATTCGACGCCGTTATGCGGTTTGTCACAAGCATTTTGACAAATGTTGTGAGAGCCCAGGGACAAAAAAACTAAAAAAGTGTTCACTACCCACTTTATATTTGCCGAAAAGTAATATTAATAAATAATAATCATCATAATATATATGTCTGTAAACTTGTTTAAACTATGTCGCATGATTGTTTAGTGCAGGTAGAGCCTGCATAGGACTCAATACTTGACTGAAATTATTTATTTAAAAAAAAGTAATACCTAACTTATTTTCTAAAAAAAAACTAATTGAAATAATTGAACTGTCTTTATTTTTTTATAATAGTATTATGTGTAGGTATATGTGTTGTGTCCAAATTGTGTTAAATTAACCAGATTATTGCATTAATTGTTATGTGTTCAATATTAACTAGATTATTGTAATAATTATATTGTTAAAATAAAATATAGTTATTGTTGGTTCAAAGTTAATGTATTTATGTGTGTAAACTTATTTAAACTATGTGCTTTATTTAGTTATAATTGCATTGTGTATTATATGTATAGTACCTAAATTTTGTTAAATTAACCAGATTATTGTATTATAATAATAATATTGTTTATTACGGAATAGTATGTTATGATAAGTATGTGTAATGTTTTCAGTATTAACTAGATTATTGTAATAATATTGTTGGAATAAAATATAGTTTTATTGTTGGTACAACGTTTATGTATTTAATATTTATGTTTGTAAACTTAAGTTAAACAACTGTTTAAACTATGTGGCATGATTGTTTAGTCCAGGTAGAGCATTGGGTTCAAAACTCACTTAACAAGACATACCTGGTAACTTATAAATATTTAATCAATAGTAAATTCAATAAACATATTCTAACATAAGTTTTTATGATATACACAGTTCAAGTTCCATCGTCTTCCAGTGGTACATCTACTAAAGAGCTAGTCACTGCTCTTACATCACCCAACGTAGTACTAGATACCTCAGTAGAAATGCGAGTACCATCGTCTTCTAATGGAACTACTGAAGAATTGCTTGTTGTCCGTAAGTCTCACAGAAATGAGTTATTGAAAGATATAGATGTTTATAGTCATCGAGAACTTACGCCAAATTGTAAAACTGTTTAGTAACTGTTTAGGGACATTTTCATTTTCCATTTTTTTTTAGTTTTTTTTCTAAAAATATCAATAAAATTTTATTTGTTGGGTAAAAAAGCTTGAAAATTTAATAGAAGGCTCCTAGTTTATTGTTTCAAAGGCAGATGAAAAATATTTAAAATCCTTAGTCACAGTTTTTTTTTATAAGCATTTAAAGTTCAAAAATTGACAAAATATGGAAAAATCACGAAAATTAGCAAATTATTTTGAGTTCAGAATTCGTAAAAATTTTTCTTTTTAAATCTAAGATTTGAAAATGTAATACAAGATTACTCATAAGTTTGTCTACCTTTATCAATAAAAAAATCTCTAACGGAAAGTCAAATTAATTTTTTATGAGCGTTTAAATTTCATAGTTTTACAATATTGGATATTCACTCGATTTGTCATGTAGCGATTTCCTTATTTTCTTGTAATTCAAAAACGAATAACTGTAGATACATGAAAATTTCACTGAATGTTTATATTAGTCTTTCTTATACACCATACAATTTTGAAAATATTTTGACTCTTTTTGAGCTGTTTACGGGCATTTACAGTTTTCAATTTTTTTAGTTTTTTTTTCTATAAATATCCATAAAGTTTTATCTGTTGGGCCAAAAAGTGTAAAAATTTAATACAAGGCTCCTGATATATTGTTACAATAGCGGTTGAAAAATATTAAAAATACATAGGCACAGTTTTTTTTTATAAGCATTTAAAGATCGAATTTGGACAGAATTTATCAAAATCTCGAAAATTATCAATCATTGTAATTAATAAATTATAAAATGTTCAGTTTTTATAGCTAAGGATTGAAAATTTAAAACAAGATTCCATGTAAGTAGTTTATTCTGTTACCAAAAAATCTAAAAAATACGCAAGCGCAGTTTATTTTTATACTCATTTTAAGTTCAAATTTGAACGGAATTACATATTAAAAAACCTAGAATAACTATTTTAGTTATTTTGTTGTGATTAGAAATAATATTATTCGTGGGTACTTGAAACTTCTAAAGTGCACTATTATATATCTATGATAGTATCAGGGTTTGTTGTTGATGTATAACGCGTTATAAGTACCTAATGGATATTGTGTTATGATTAATTTGGAATTTATTATAGGTACCTACCTATTATATGTCAATTTTTTTTAATACCATGGATAAGTATAATATAATAAAATGTCCTATGCCTAGACTGACATACCGCCTCCACTCAGAATCGTTTTTCTTATACAATGATATTATATCATTGAATTCAAATTTAATACCATCCATTATACAGTGACCCACTTGTAACCTACAGTACGTCAGTACAGCAGAGCGACATCCACTTGCCCACCTTTTTAATCTTAGATTTAAAAAAAAAACTTTTTATGAATCTTATTATTATTAAATCTTACATATTATTGATAGATGACACTATAATAATAATAATTTCCTACTATTAAGATAAACAATATAATGTTCCAATGCAATTTATACTGTTTATTTATACAATTGTATACCAAGAATTATAAATTATTCATGGTGGTTTTTTATGGAGATAAAATTATAGAAAGCAATAGTTATACTCACAAGGACTTTTTTTGTTCCATTTGAGGTTTAGAAACACCTTTAGAAGTTTGACACATTTATCGTGCAACACCCTGTATTATGACTTACGGCCTGTTAAAAAATCTTAATTGGTAAATTTTCCAATTTTTTTTTTTTTTATTTTAGTGCATTGTGCGATTTATTCAAACACACAACTTAATGGTATTAGTACGCAATAACCAACACATAGGTAGCAACTATAGTCAGAATGGTAATGTTAATTGGCCAATTTGGAAAATTTATCATTGTGCTAAAAATTATTTTATTACCACTAGCTCATGGCATTGCCACATCTGCCACCAGAGAGAATTGAAGAATACCCTGAAAATTTCCATATTCTTGAAGGGTTTTTGGAAGTACAGAGGTTAGCTAGGGACATGAATGTAGCTGAAAATATCTCTGAGCTTTTCAACTACTTCCAAAATTATTGGACGAATATAATTGGACCACATGGCTTCTCTGTATACGGTGTCAATATCAGAACCAACAATTATATTGAAAGCTTCCATAGTACAATTCAAACAATAATTGGCAGACATCCACCACTTTGGGCCTTCTATGGTACTCACACTAGAAATTTCAACATAATTAGTTAATTCATTTATGTATAAAATATCAAGTTTACAATTGTGAATTCTTTACTTGTAGATCGATTACGATTGGTAGAAAGGAGAGTAAGGAGAGAAACGCAGCAGATATAAATGGCCATCAGGTAAATATATAATAAAAATTCATAAAAGATGCAGTTTTTCTGTTGATAATAGGTCAAATTATAAAACAGATTAAAAATAGGTATTATTCCCATATTTTTTTACCAAATAATTATATTATGATGCAAATTAATCATTTTTTTTTTATTATTATTTATTTTTTAAATCAAAATAAAAGAATTTTCAATAGAAAATTTAAAAAAGGAACATCTTTTTAGCAAATATGAAATATTATACATTATTTTATATAGTTTTTATGCAATAAAATAACTTAGGTTACATGTTAATTTAATAAACAATTACAATTTGTATTCTTCTGTTTTTAAGTATAATTGCATGCACAATACATACCAAAATTATTATATTTTTAAAAATAATAATAATATTATTTATGTATAGGTAGTAAAATAAGTAATAACTAATAAATACCTTAAGTTACTTTTATTTATATTGAAAAGAATAAAAACAGAACTTAATTCTTTGTTTTAAGCATTACCAGTGGTGATAAAACTTTTTTTTCCTATGAAGCAATTACTCTAAATAAGTCCCCACACACCAATTATTTTCAAATTTTACACTTATTTTTTCACACGATTTAAAGGTGACTATGCGAGTATTAATTATAAACTAGTCTAGCCATGTCCAGCTGCCTAATAAAATAGCTATTCACGCCACCATTGACTACTAAGACTACTAATGTAGATATTACCAATGTTATTGTAGGTTCGGAGAGAAATATTGACAAGTCGAGACAACAATAACCAATTATTAATAGCTGCGTTTCAAAATGTCAGGAATGGTCGATATGATATTTCAGCATTCCTTCGACGGGTTGCTCACTCTGCAAGAGGTTACTAGGACCAACAAATTGGACCTTTGCCAACTGGTAAATTTATCTTGTTTTTACTCATTTAATTCTTTCTAAACAATTATAAATAATTAAAAATAGATGTGCAATTAAATGATCAACCACCGAATGCATTGGTGCTTAGACCTCTTCAACCACCACAATACCTACCAGGACGTATAAGACGTGGTGCTGGAAGGGGCAGAGATCAAGTCCGGGTACAACCTGCTGTTCGACCCTCCGTTTTCAATATTGCAAGAGGTCAGAGACGACGAGGGCGTCTGATTAGTAATAGAAGGCAGCTTCCTCATCGGAGATTAAGTCAAGATGCAATGGAAGGTTTCTATGACTGAAATTTTAAAATAAATAATACAATTTTATAGCTATTGTTAAAATGTTAAACTTGTTTATAGACAACGTAATGGAAGATCTACCTGAACCGGAAATTGAAGGTACATATTATATCAATGTTTAAAAATCATATAAGTTATAATGTAGCAGATTTAATATTGAGTTTTTTCTGTAGTTGTTCAATTATAAATAGTTGAAGCACTTCCAGCTGAAAGTGAAAATTTAGGTAAGACAAAGTATTTATTTTTTAAATAAATATTAATATGTAAATACTTTATTCGTAGAGGATGAAAATGTTGAGATTGTGGTGATTGGAGCAGGAACTGAAGAATTGAGCACATTAATTTTAGAGGATCAGGCATTACCACAAATATCAGGTTATATATCATATGTATATTCTATTCTTAATGCAGAAATTTTTATTAGTTTAAAGAAAATATTCTTTATACTAGGTAATACTTATAAAAATACTACATTAACTATAACCTATTTAATACTTACACAGGCGAGGAATATGATCGATGTTTTGTCTGTTGGCAAAGCAGAGATGACGTTGTAGGCATTAATATTGTTCTGCCATGTGGACACGGGTGGTGCTGTGATCCGTGTGCTCGACGATTGTCCAAATGTCCTGTCTGCAGGGTAGAATATCCAAGAACCCTAAATATTAATATTATGTTGACAAGTTCATATAATGGTATATATTTGGTATGTTTTGACATTTAACAGTTAATATAAAAAAATTTTTACTTTTTGGATAGTCTCATGGATACGCAATATTAATAGCCTTATGGACCCGACAGGCAGTAACTGCATTTGTTGTTGGAGGGCATATAGAGACGCCCCAAATGGTTTAAGGTATGTATACCTGTATTGTGGACATGGATGGAGGTGCATGGAATGTATCACCTCACTTCCAGACATTTGTGAAGTGTGTGATGATACTGTGGACGGTGTTGCACAAATGTTTATAAGCTAAATTTAAAATTGTAATATATAAGTTTATATATTTTTTTTTTTTGTTTACTACTTACTTAGTCTTACTTATTTATAAATATAAGATGTTTATATTTAGTTTGTCAAATTGATTTAATGTTTCTAAATATTATATTTAACCTGTTTATTAACTTCATTGAGTTTACCTATAGAAACTAATTATACTCTATTAGTAGGTAGTTATTTTTTTTTAATGTATTAAACATTATTCTCTTACTTAAATTATTACTTTTCATTTACTGTATTAAAATAAATATATTTATGAGTGTGGTGGTAATTTGCTCATCAATTTAAAATTAAGTAGATATATAATAGGTATATTTAATATTAGTAGGTACATAATAAAATAAAGTATATGAATTAATATAACAATGTAGAAAAACTATATAATCAAATAAAACTTAGCCTGGAATATTACAATTTTAGTTTATTTTAAGACAGATTTCCTGACAATTATAATTATTTGTAAATTTATGAATAATTATATTTTCCATACTAGATTTTTCTTTTAGGTACCGTCAATCGAGGTGACTTGGAACGATTTTGACATACTTCTTGTTATTCAGAGCTTAAAAAAAATCGCACTGAACTACAAAAAATACATAAATGTGTGCATACGTATCATGAATAGGATAAGACCTTTCATTTAGTTTTTTGACCAAAACTGAACTTAAAAAAAAGTAAAAAGTACGTGTTCCAAGTCACCTCAATTTTTGGGTGACTTGGAACAGTTATGAAAATAATTCAAGAACGTTAGAGGTGACTTGGAACAACATTTTTATTTTAAAAAGAAAGAAATGTTTGGTTATTTTTTTTGGTGGTAATGATAAGACCAAGCACATGGTTGATGATAACATTTATTATCACAAATATTGTACATTTAATTTGAATGGAGGCAGAATTAAATTATATCATTTTGTTTCATAGATAACCTTATATGCTTAAAAAAAAACCGGGTACTGGTTTGTTATAGCCCCGCCACTGCGGGCTTGGGGTACTTTTCCGGAAATTTCATGGCGAGGAAAAAAAAAAGAAAAAAAAAAAAGAATGATAACCCGACCTTGCCAACATCAAATAAGTTCAAATTTTCAATTCAGAATTTAGTATTCCTAAATGTACCACCTTGAAAAAATACATATTAAAATATGTATTTGTTCCCGCCTTATTGCTTAATGCTTTTGTTGTGTTTTGTAACGGTTTTTGCCGGCGGTTTTCCCAGTTTCCCACTTTCCCATAATATGAGCGGATGAACGGATGGACAGCCATTGAACGCTTGAACTTTGCCGTACCGACTCTCGTTATGGTTATTTGTTAACTACTGCCTAGTGCCTACTGCTTACCTACTGTGCTTACTGTGCTTACTATTGTTTACCGTTTACGCATTATTGTCGTTCTATAAACTTTGAACATAGTTCATACCGAAAACCCAGCTCGTGCTTTCGCAGTGACGTAAGTATTTAAAATTTTACTTTTGGGGTGCGGAGAGTTATGTTATAAAAGTGAAATAATTTTATAAAACATCCCACTGATAATTACAAATTATTAAATATTAATATAACTCTATATTAAGTATTATGTGTACAATTAATGATTACCTATGTCAGTTTTTCTAATGTCAATATTGAAGTTAAATACTAGAGTTTTGGGTATTCGTACCTTCGACAGAATTATGCAAATTGATTGTAACAAGGTACAAATTATTTAAATTTTTCATAATTGCAGATTTTCAAACACAGAATGCTGCTCTCAAAAATTTTCCAAATAAATTTCATGCAGTAAAAACCATGGACCTTGTTGTTAGTCATTGGCTGGTGATGGCTGTTTTGATGACACTCCTGAAATACTGAACTTAACCATAACTGTTGTATTACATGGTTAAACATATTTTAATGGATATTTGATGTGTTGTTCAAGGCTACTAATTGTGCAAAAAAATGGGATTATTGTAGGACGACTATAGATCAAAACTTAGTCACTAATTAGTATTTTCAAACCATTCTGGGTTTTGTAGGCCCTTATTTTAAGTTAAAAAAGTATTTAAATAGTATTCAAAGTCAATCATAAATCATAATATTATGTCTTAAATTTAATTTTAAGATATGATATCATATAAATAATAACCCCTATAATTTAATTAACAAAAAGTTTATATTTATACTAATACCAGAATAAAAAACCTAAGCCACTTTTTACTTTTTTTAAATAATATGTTTACAAATTTTGAATAGACCTTAATTGGTAGAGGTAGTGTTATACAAGAAAATAATAATAAAAATAAAAGTGTTTGTGTGTTAACAAACTGTACAGTCTTGTTTGGAAAAGTTGAGTTTCTGTTCACTATTTTTAACTTTACTATGTGTGAACTCCTCAGTTAAATATATTTTGAGATAAATATTTAATGATGGCGATGATAGGAATTCATTTTTTGGCCTGTTAAAGAGGATCTACAATATTGCCTATTTTTTGATGATGTATCAAATAACTCTAAACTTATGCATAATTAATTTATTGTGGAAAACATCAAAAATAATATTAGTAATTAATCTTATGTTGATTACCTAAATTATGTATGTTTTGAACTGAAACAACTTCAGTATAATATTATGTAAAGTGAATACTTATTTATGTATTATGTTATAAATCGTTCATAAAACGATTGTAATATTATGTAAATGTAACCAAAAAAATTATTATATTAATTAAATATTTTATGATATCTGTGATATTAATTAATTCAATTTTTTATATAGATCTGTCTATCTGCAATTTGCCTGCGATACACCTGCGATTCACTTGTGATTTACCTACGATTTACCTAAGTATTTAAAACTTTGAACATAGTTCATACTAAAACTTTGAACATAGTTCATACTAAAACTTTGAACATAGTTCATACCAAAAACCCAGCTCGTGCTTTCACACTTTATTGTTAAAACGTTTTTGTTTTGTTGTTACTTATTACATTTGTTTTCAATTTCTTACCTACTATAAACATAACTACTCTTTTTTTTTTTTTTTTTTGTATTTTTGGTGTTCTGATTCTAGTTATATATTAATAATAATGGACAACGAGGAAGTATTTGCTCTCCCAGATCATTTGGTTGACCATGACTACTTCCTGCCAGTTGTATATGAAGATGATCATATACTGCGTGAAGAAGAAGTAGAGGAATTGGTAGAAGAAGAAGAAGTAGAAGAATTGGACGAGGAAGAGGAAGAGGAACCAATTGTCAGAGTGTCGGAAACATACAGATTGATTCCTGGGGTTCATAACCGATCGAGGATATATGTTGACAACCTGGGATTCAAGTATTACAAACGAGAAACTAAAGGACAACGCGTGTATGTTTAATAGTTTATCCAATATAATTACCTACCTATTTGGGTAATGATAATAAAATTATGGCTAATCATAAATAATGTTTTTATATTTTATAGGTATTTAGTATGCGAACGGCAGAAGCAACGGAACCAGTACTGCCCTTCCACTGCAACTGTTAGTGCAAATTTGAACGACAACAGAATTCGTCTAGGGTTCTACCACGACCATCCACCCAGAGTGATCGACCTGAATGTGCCGTTTTTGAGGGAAACCATAGGTGAAAGAGGAATTGATCCAGCAGTTACAACATCATTTATGAGAACTTTGTACAACAACGAAATTATCAAGTGAGTCGTATTCAAAGTTATCTATATATACTAAATTATTATTTACTACTTGTTAGTAATAAGGTTAGTATTAGGTAGTTTCAGTTAACTATAGGTACCTACTACCCATAATTAATAATAAACAATGCAAAATTATTTATTAACTGCTTTTTTGGTTTTGTTAGCCATCCAGAAGCAGCTCCTAACTACACATTTATTCAGGCTCAAGAACGAGTGAAAAAGATGAGACGTAGAAGATTCCCAGCGCAACCCCTTGATATTGGACAACTTGCAGTGGCACTGAATGAAGCACGAAATGCCATTTACGCTCTTACAGTTCAAAATCCTCCATCTAGGTAAATATATTTGTTTGTTTAAAGTTTTTAAGTTATAACTGATAAGTAGGGCTGAGGACTTCTAGTTTTTCATATTTAACTTAAAAGGTCGCAGATCAACGTGAGTGATGTATAAAATATAAATATGTTTCATAAATCATAATACAAGTAAGTTACACTACAAATTGTATTTTGCATATTTTGTCTATGCTAAGAGTTTCATGTTGGTGTTTGCCAAATTAAGAGCATAATATTATGTATACGTTTAGAAAATTTAATATTTAAAAATATAACAGTACTAGGTTAATGGCAGCAAAACTGTATATTATCTGATCGATAATACTGCAACACTTAATTAGTAATTTCAAGTTTGTATAAAGTAAATAATCAAACTATCTTTTTTTATATTTTTGTTTTCATATTGATAGTATAATTTAAGTATGTACCAAAAGTCATACATTTTTTTAGAGCATATTTTAAATGCGTATTATTTGTTGTTGTTTTTAGTGCATAAATATTTTCAGGTTTAGAAGTACTTTAAGTCCTCAGTCTTACTAATAAGCTATTATATAATTAGCCATATATGGTAATAGTGTATGTGAATCTTATATTAATTTATTGAATTTTAAATTAACAAGTAGGAACCAACAAAAAATGTACATATTACTTACATAAGTGTATAGAAATTTATCTACTCCTGGTAGATGTTTATGATTGTATTACAACATTTTATAATATTTTATGGACACATTTATTTGTCTTTTTATTTTTGCTGTATGAATTATATTTAATCTTTATTTATCAGGGTTGGAACGTATAATACAGTACAGTATAAAACTACTTAGTTTTATGCTGTATCTTTATTCTTCATTAATAACTACCGTAATATTAGTATTCAATATTTATTAATTTAGAATAACAAAAAATAAATTTGTTTTGTTTTTAATTTTAATTTCAATCTAAATTTAAGAAAATTTTCTAAGTTGATGTTGAAATTTATAAGTTAACACTTATTAAAATCTTAAATGTACAGTACCTATATACTATTATCAGTATTATCACTATTATAACAATTATAAATTTCAAACAAAACAATGTATACTTAATACTCCTTATGTCTTGGTTGTTATTAAGATTTTAAGTAAAGCATTTTTAAAACAAAAAATATTTTGATAAGTATTAAAAATTAATATTTAATGACATACATAGCTCAGTTGCAGTATTACTACAACTTCTTAATCCAAAATGTTTTTTACTATTTGTTTTAATTACATTAACACTTTTCTTATATTTAAGTTGTATTTAAATAGTTAATGTTAATGTTGATTTTGTAAACAACATTTTTGAATTTAGTTTGTTTGTTATGATTAAAGTCTATTGGTTGAGCATTAAAACTTAGTATTGTGCCATAGTGGTCAGCGATTGACATTTAAGTATTCATGCTTGCAAATTATTACATTTATATTTTTTGTAAAAAAATGTGTTTAAATTTGTGGTTTCTCGAGTAGTATTATTTATACATATGAAATTGTCTGGCCATTACATTAAGATAATCAGTAGAATTTAGTGAATCATTAATATTAATGTCTCCTGCTATGACATAGTGAATATTATTATTATTTAATTGCTCTAAATATGTATTCAAATTGGAAATAAAGGTATCAATAATATCTTGTGGTGACCTGTATATACTTATTACTGAAATTTTCATTTTATCTAATTCAATTTGTATTGCAAGATATTACTTTATTTGAAATACTTATGAGCTTAAAATTATTTTCAATAAAAATTGTGACGCCATAATTTTATTAAATTCAATATACATCCAGGTCTCACTTAATATTATTACGTCAAACTTACCACTAACACTACTAAGCATTAAAATTAATTTATCAAGATTAGCATTTATACTACAAATATCCATACAGAAAAGGTCTATATTACTATAAATCTATTAAATTTAATACTATTTATCCGTTCATAAAATAAATGAATATGAATAACAATCCATACTATAAATGAATACTGAAAATTGTTTTTTTAGTTGCTGACAGTGCAAATTGCACCTAATTATTATTCAGTTACAAACAAATATTAAAATTATTGGTACCATGGTATTTGTAATTGTGAATACTTAACCATACAGTTACAAATTGAATAATGTATTGTATTAAATTATTTTAGGGTAAACTGTTCCAAATTACTAAAAATTGTATTTTAAAAATTATTACTAGGTTCTTTCAACAAGCATTGGTCGTCAATGGAAGGAGTGTTGGTGTGATCTTTGCGAACATGGATGCAGTCAACAAATACAGAGAAGAATTGGCCACTGTGACATTGGTTGGGATTGATGGGACGTTCAAGACTGTGCCTCGTGTTCCAGCAGATTTGAAATGTCTCCTTACTATCCAGGTGGTTTTCAAAAGTGTAGTAAGTGTTTGATAATTGATATTTTTTATGAATAATCTAAATTCTTTTTTCTTATCATATTTCTCACTATTTACTTTTTATTTTTTTTTCTAGTCCTTTCCAATGGTCTATGCTCTACTGGGGAGCATGACTGAAGAAGTCTATGCGGCTCTGTTTGATATTGTAAGAAATATTTTACCTTTGAATTATCAACGTATTTGTTTTATTACAGATTATGAAAAAGCTCTGATGTCAGCCGTTCAACAATCATTTCCGGAAAGCCAATTGAGATGTTGTTGGTTCCATTTTACTCAGGTAGTTTTTTAATAACTTATGTGCACTTAGTGATCATAATATAAAAAAAAAATAATATTTTTTCTAGTCAATTGTACGGTATTGTCACCGAAGGATGAACAGTGTTTGTAATTTAATCCGTACGAACCCAGTAGCTGCTCGAGTTCTCAGAATGGTAAATTTAAGTTTAATATTTGTATTCAATTGTATTTCTCTTTAATACACCATTGTGTTTTTAGGTTTTGGCATTACCTCACCTACCCGCAACCAGGAATGACCCGCGCTGTCCATTTTCCATGGAGGATGGTTTCGATGCCATCATGGACTACACAAGACAATTTCCTCCAATTGAACAAGGCATGAGAAACTTTCTAATTGGGTATGTGCAATATTTTTGGTTGTTACAGGTCGGTCCAGGTTTAATCAGTTGTTTTGGAGAAGAATATAGAACCAACAACTACTTGGAGTCTTTCCATTCTACACTTCTAACCCAAATGCAAAGACATCCCAATATATGGAATTTTATTCGTGAGTTTTTGCAGTACAAGGTGTATCGTGTTTTATATGTTGCATCCTTGTGTTAAATGTTTGTTGTTATCAGTATCATCATTATTATTATATGTATTATTTATGTTTCATGTTTAACCTCATAAGAAGTAGTGCTTACAGGATGTGTTGGTAAATGTTACGTCCTTGTCCTATATGTTTGTGTTTTTGTGTACCTCATTTATGTCATGTGTAAACTAACTAACAAGAAGGAGTTAATGGTAAGCTAAGTAAGTAAATTACCTATGTTGTTTTAAAATTTAATTTTTAGTTATTTTTTTAATTTTTGTTTATGGTTATGGTGTATTTATTGTATGTATGTGTCTTGCTGTAACTTATATTATAATATAAACTATTACAATGTACTATTTTTTACTGATCAATTGATTTGCTTACAGAAAAACTGACTGTCCTTGAAAATCAGTATTTCGTTGAATTTGATCAAGCCAGAAGAAACCTAAGGGTGATTATTAATTTTTATTTGAACATAAATTGTTTTTGGGCTGGTTACAGATATGTTATTTTTTCAACAAATAAACTTAATTATATAAAATAATTACATTTCAGATTAGAGATCAAGCATCACGGAGGGAACGAGAGAACACTACCACTGTGTTAGCAGGTTATGTGCAACAACTCAACAGAGATGAAGACCTCACAGGATTTTTGAGAAGGGCTGGACACCGCAATGATGGATACGTACAAGGCATAATCGGACCATATCCACAAGTAAATATATTTTATAATTTTATTTCAATCTTGTAAATTTATTTATATGATTGTTTTGTTTTTTAATAGGATCAGTGAGTATTGTACTTGTTATGTTTTGGATTCTTTTGAAATGCAATCAAAAACTGATGTCATATATACAGATATGGAAGAAGCCTTCGATAGGGTTAATCATAAATTATTAATAAATAAATTGAAAACGTATGGATTCACTGAACCACTTCTTTCTTGGTTTTATTCTTTCATCTCTGGACGCACCCAAATTGTAAAATATAAAAATTATGTCTCTGAACAAATTCTCGTTACTTCCGGTCTCCCCCAAGGAGACCATTTATCCCCAATATTATTTTGCCTTTTTATGAATGATATATCAGATGTAATCTCTCATTCTAAAATATTATTATTAGCTGATGATGCAAAAATATTCAAAAATATTAGCTGCACAAAAGACGCTATTGAACTACAATTAGATTTAAATAATATGTATAAATGGTGCCAGCAAAATGCTATGCACTTAAATTTAAAAAAATGTTTCCATATTACTTTTTCTTTAAAAAGACAACCTATTCAGTTAAATTATTTGTTGGGTAATATAAATTTATTAAAAGTTTCTACAGTACACGATCTTGGTGTAAAATTCGACTCCAAACTATCTTTTAAAGACCATGTACTTTATATTAGAAATAAAGCGTCAAAAAAGTTAGGTTTTTTAAAACGAACATGTCGAAACTTTAGAGATGAATCTGCATTTTTGAATTACTACAAAATATAAATTTTAAAATAAATTCAATAAACCACCGACCTGTAAATTTATTCTACATAAAACATTCAGCTACAAACTATATGCGAAATTCTCTATCAAATATTTTAATGTCCACAGGCAACTCTATAAAAAATATTGATTTTTTTGGTAATTCTCTAAATACTTTTATGTCAAATGTTCTAGGAAATACCTAACAAATTAGGTACTAGAAATAAAATTAATATCTCGTTTTTATTTCATTGTATTTTTTATTATAGAAATTTAAATATTTATTGTATGACATTAATAGGTACCTATTTGCTCTTTAAATTTTAAGTTATTTTTATTATTATTATTATTATCATTGTTATTAAATTTATTGTTATATATAACTCATTTTACTGTTAATGTACGTGTACAATATATTATATGAAAAAAAAAAACTGTAATTGGAATTTATTTCCGTAATAAAGAAATATTATTATTATTATTATGTTTGTCGTCAGGTCGGTACCATATCAATATTTTACCTTAAATTACTAATAAAATGTATATTATATTTTAATAAACAACTCATTTTCAAATAGCAAATCGCTTGTTTTAAATTTGTTTCATCCATTATCCCTAGCTAATTGTCCAATAATTTTATATTTATTATCTTAAATAACTAAATTATTAAATATTACGAATGCCATGTTATTTGTAAGTTTATTTCATATAACATGTTAAGTATTGTGTAATTTAAAAAAAAAATCAACACTTAAGTGATTCATTCCAAGGAAGTACAATATTACAAAGTAGAGACAGATAAATATTACTACAAAGTTTTCCCGATGGATTACGAATTTGAAAAAACCCCATCCTTTAAAAAAAATTACTATCTTTTTTGAAACCTTCAACGATCGAAGGGTCACTTAGTAATCGTAATACGTTTTCAAAACCTGAAAATTTGAAATAACAACTTCAGCGGAAAACGTTCGTTCGACCACAGGAAACAGGTTACCAAAATACAGAAAATTTCCAACTGAAAATGTGGAAAAGTTATATTTGCGAGTTATATTTCGACATTTCGTTAGATGATGTTTGATAGATAGAGGCCCTGCTGGAAAATTCCGGCGTGGGCCATTCAAAAATTATTATGTTAAGTGAATACGGTAGCCAAAAAAATTATTTTGGTTACCAAGTAGATAACTTACCGTTAATAGACGGTAATTACTATGTTTTATGTTAATTTGGTTATCGTGGACGTCTGCAGCTGCATCAATGTGCACGTAATGATTCTGTAAATGATTTGTAGTTGTATGATGAATGAGTGGTAATGATTAATTTCTAAAAATATGCAATATGCAAATTGCATAAAAATTCCACTAAGGTATTTAAATATTGATGAATAACCCACAAATAAATTTAATTGTTAAGTAATTTAAAATAACGAGTTGTTCAACGCCATCTCGTGTTGAGGTTAGTCATTACTATTAGAATTGTGTAACTGCACTTCTGTAGTTGTTTACTTGGCTAATGATGAATTTATACATTATATCAATATAAATATTTAATGGAGGTAAGTGGGGTTTACTAAGAACCTAGGCTAATGGTTAGGTTAAACCTAGCCTAATTTATATTTAACAAATGTACAATTGCATTATATTATTAAATATATTTAATTTATGTCTATAAAACTACTACCTATGTTTATAAAATACTTAATTAATACTTTGTATTTCATTAATTTGAATTCAAATGTTCATAATAAGTTTTAAATTCATTAACAGTATACTTATTTACAATAAATATCCCGATTGGCCATGAGTTAATTCAAATAAAAATAAAATGAAATCTCAACAAAAAGTTAATATACAAAACAAAAGCTATTTTATCAAGTAAATTGTTTTCTTTTGCTTTACTTGAAGCCAACTCTCTTAGTTCTTAATTGAAGTCTAATTATTTTACCACATAATTCTCAGAATATAAAATTGTCTAAACTTTCTTGTGTTTGACTGTTTTTAAACTTATTTTTTATTCAAGTTAATTTAGAAGAAGCTCTCTTCACAGAACAATTTTCTACAGGAATTATCAAATATAACCTATAGACCCCCCGGCTTAATCCAGTTTTGATTTAATCTACTCACAAAAACTTTCAAACATTTAAAACCTGAATGCCCAAAATAGTATGTTTGTAACATAATATGTTTAATACGGTGTAATGCTATCAATTTTATATTAACAGTTATTTATTTTAAATGCAGTTTCAAAAGCTTACTCACACACACATATCAATATCAATTGTGAATTCATCAGAATATAGAAGATAATAGAGTATACAACTTATAGATTGCATTTACTTGCCTACATTTTATATATATTTTATGCATGAGTTATTAAGGTACATACTTATAGAAGACTTTGTGCTGTATCGATGGGTACCGAGATCGAGGTTATCCGACTTTTGGTTCGGGAGTTATGATTTTATGAGTGTTTTTTGTACTTAGAAAATTACGTATTTACATGTTTTTTAAATTTTTTTTTTTTCGTTTGATCACTACAAAATTCTAGAACCTGATCATTCGGCGTACGAGGATTCAAAAAACCTCTATGGTCAAAATACGTACGACCATTATTTCGCCCGAAATCGTAGTAGCAAAAAGTTAGAAAACAAATTATGCTATTTTTCGTATTATCAAGGCGTCTCCTTGTGGTATACGTCTGTGTACCGTATCAAGTAATAATTATTTTGAACTTTTTTTCAACACTTATTTTAGTAGACGTGTAGCTCATTATTCATTAATGTAAATCGATAGGTATATAAGAATAAAATATTAAAACCTATAAAATAATAGGTCAATTCACTCTAATATATGTATTTGAGCTAACAACACAAAATTGGATGTATATTTTGAACTACTAGCTCCTTCAAAATAAGTCGTATCGTTATGAAATCTTCAAGGATCGAAGCAGACAACCCTCGAGATAAAATTTATTGTCTCAAAAAAGCCGCGACTCGATTTTAAGTTTGAGAAATTGGCAAAAGAAAATTTCCCGCCAATTTTATTTTTGAAAAAAATCAAATTTTGATTTCAACACTCACCCCCTTAATATTTGAGTTTCAATACTTTTAAAAAGTGGGAACTGGTCTAGAGACGCTTCTGCATCGATCCTAGAAGGTTTCATACAGATATGATTTTTATTGAAGGATTTAGGTTTTGTATTGGTTTTTAAAATTCGTAATATTTCGAAAACCTAAATCATTCTATATAAGTCGTATCTGTATGAAACTTTCTAGGATCGAAGCAGAAGCGTCTCTAGACCAGTTCCCACTTTTTAAAAGTATTGAAACTCAAATATTAAGGGGGTGAGTGTTGAGTTCAAAATTTGATTTTTTCAAAAATAAAATTGGCGGGAAATTTTCTTTTGCCAATTTCTCAAACTTAAAATCGAGTCGCGGCTTTTTTGAGACAATAAATTTGATCTCGAGGGTTGACTGCTTCGATCCTCGAAGGTTTCATAACGATACGACTTATATTGAATGATTTAGGTTTTCGAAATATTACGAATTTTAAAAACCTATACAAAACCTAAATCATTCAATATAAGTCGTATCTGTATGAAACCTTCTAGGATCGAAGCAGAAGCGTCTCTAGACCAGTTCCCACTTTTTAAAAGTATTGAAACTCAAATATTAAGGGGGTGAGTGTTGAGTTCAAAATTTGATTTTTTCAAAAATAAAATTGGCGGGAAATTTTCTTTTGCCAATTTCTCAAACTTAAAATCGAGTCGCGGCTTTTTTGAGACAATAAATTTGATCTCGGGGGTTGTCTGCTTCGATCCTTGAAGATTTCATAACGATACGACTTATTTTGAAGGAGCTAGTAGTTCAAAATATACATCCAATTTTGTGTTGTTAGCTCAAATACATATAATATTAGAGTGGATTGACCTATTATTTTATAGGTTTTAATATTTTATTCTTATATACCTATCGATTTACATTAATGAATAATGAGCTACACGCCTACTAAAATAAGTGTGAAAAAAAGTTCAAAATAATTATTACATGATACGTTACACAGACGTATACCACAAGGAGACGCCTTGATAATATGAAAAATAGCATAATTTGTTTTCTAACTTTTTGCTACTACGATTTCGGGCGAAATAATGGTCGTACGTATTTTGACCATAGAGGTTTTTTGAATCCTCGTACGCCGAATGATCAGGTTCTAGAATTTCGTAGTGATCAAACGAAAAAAAAAAATTTAAAAAACATGTAAATACGTAATTTTCTAAGTACAAAAAACACTTTAAAAATCATAACTCCCGAACCAAAAGTCGGATCACC